TGGTAACAATTTGAACCTGTCAGTACGGGCAGTTTTTGAGAAATGCTAAAAAACATATTTCACCCTTAAAAATTTCAAAGACCATAGGGGCGCGGGGGTGTGGTATATATTTTTTTTTTATGTTCTTTGTGATCTAAATAATGTCTGGTAATAATTTGAACCTGTCAGTACGGGCAGTTTTTGAGAAATGCATATTACACATAAAACATATTCCACCCTTAAAAATTTCAATGACCGTAGGGGCGCAGGGGTGTGGTATATTTTTTTTAATGTTCCTTGTGATCTAAATAATGTCTGGTAATAATTTGAACCTGTCAGTACGAGCAGTTTTTGAGAAATGCATATTACACATAAAACATATTCCACCCATAAAAATTTCAATGACCGTAGGGGCGCAGGGGTGTGGTATATTTTTTTTTAATGTTCTTTGTGATCTAAATAATATAAAGTAACAATTTGAACCTGTCAGTACGGGCAGTTTTTAAGAAATGCTAAAAAACATATTTCACCCTTAAAAATTTCAAAAACCGTAGGGGCGCAGGGGTGTGGTATATTTTTTTAAATGTTATTTGTGATTTAGATAATGTCTGGTAATAATTTGAATCTGTCAGTATGGGCAGTTTTTGAGAAATGCTAAAAAACATATTTCACTCTTAAACATTTCAATGACCGTAGGGGCGCAGGGGTGTGGTATATTTTCTATAATGTTCTTTGTGATCTAAATAATGTCTAGTAATAATTTGAACTTGTCAGTACGGGCAGTTTTTGAGAAATGCTAAAATAGTTATTTTCCTAACAAGTGCGCAAAGTGTTACTTTTCCGCACGCAAACACAGTTATACGAACGACGCGAAGCGGAGTTCGGATACGTGTTTGCGTGCGGAAAAGACACTTTGCGCACGTGTTAGGAACAAAATTTTTCCTACGAGCTTCATATCAGGTAGGTAATAACAAAAATTTGAAAAAAAAACCGATAATTTGTTTAATTATTTTTAATTAACTTGAAGGGAACCTATGCATTTATCAAAAAATTACATAACAAAAAAAAATAACAGAAAATCCTCGTCAGAGCTGTTCATCTTAAAGCGTTTAAATTTGATGAGAAAGTTTGTAGATTTTTGCATATAAATAGAGAACAAATCTGATGTGTCAAAGTTAATTTATAATTGGTGTTTGTATAGATGTTGGCTGATATAGAAATAGAGGAAAAATTTGTCATCATGTGTCAAAGTCGACAGGTGCACTTATTGTTGCTTGACAATTATAATTACTTTTCGGCACTCAGTGCGGATAAGGCCTGTATCCGCACTGAGTGCGGAAAAGTGTAACTTTGAGCCCGGAAATGCGTGCGGAAAAGTACTACTTTGCGCACGCTCGTAGGAAAAACATATTTCACCCTTAAAAATTTCAAAGACCGTAGGGGCGCAAGGGTGTCGTATATTTTTTTTATTGTTTTTTGTGATCTAAATAATGTCTAGTAATAATTTGAACCTGTCAGTACGGGCAGTTTTTGAGAAATGCTAAAAAACATATTTCACCCTTAAAAATTTCAAAGACCGTAGGGGCGCAGGGGTGTCGTATATTTTTTTTATTGTTCTTTGTGATCTAAATAATGTCTAGTAATAATTTGAACCTGTCAGTACGGGCAGTTTTTGAGAAATGCATATTACACATAAAACATATTCCACCCTTAAAAATTTCAATGACCGTAGGGGCGCAGGGGTGTGGTATATTTTTTTAATGTTCTTTGTGATCTAATAAGGTCAAGTAACAATTTGAACCTCTCAGTACGGGCAGTTTTTGAGAAATGCTAAAAAACATATTTCACGCTTAAAAATTTCAAAAACCGTAGGGGCGCAGGGGTGTGGTATATTTTTTTAAATGTTTTTTGTGATCTAAATAATGTCTGGTAATAATTTGAACCTGTCAGTACCGGCACTTTTCGAGAAATGCTAAAAAACATATTTCACCCTTAAAAATTTCAAAGACCGTAGGAGCGCAAGGGTGTGGTATATGTTTTTTAATGTTTTTTGTGATCCAAATAATGTCTAGTAATAATTTCAACCTGTCAGTACGGATAGTTTTTGAGAAATGCTAAGAAACAGTTTCACCTTCAAAAATTTCAATGACCGTAGATATGTACCTACTAATAATTGAAAAAAATTGAGAATTTTCATGTGATATCCTTAGGGAGCACCTAATAAGTCGATGTTACAAAAAACAAAGGTAAAATATACTTATAAAAAAAAACCGACGCCACTGAGCTTTCGGCTGTTTCCGGAAAATTGTTTGATAACTTTTGTCTGATAACTTCACAACAGTACGTTTTGAAGACATCCTTCAGATAAGAGCAGAAAGTAGTCTGCGAGAGATAGTGACCACTTGCCGTACACACACTTAAGTATTCACCGTTATTCTATTCGGTGAAAAGTCCTTTCCAATATTTACCGTTTGTAATATAGGTATATTCGATTAATTTCAGATATCTTGACTCTATTCTTGCATTTCTTACGCCTTTGAAGATTAACTACTACGCCATCATAAATAGTTTTATCCAGGAAAAAATCCATTCACAGAAATTCCAATATTCCTGATTCCAGATAGGTACATACATATTTTCAAAAATAATTTTCAAACTTATCACGAGATAAATGAGCGGACCCTATGATGATGGACTATTCCATCATTTTTAAATTATCTGATATGGACACTTCAAATCCAGTTTAAGCTAACAAAAAATTAAGAACCAATATCCCTGTAGGTACTCGATCAAGTACCCACTTTCCACGCTTTCGTAGTATCTAACTACCTATATTTCTAATCATAACAAGTTTTAAAGATAAACCGAGCTACTGTAGGAAGATTTGTTTGAAAAAATAATAATTATGAGCATTAAAGTGGTTAAACATAATCTACCGTAGATAATAAATTGATTTTATCATAAAAGAAAGTAATTAATATGCCTAATTATATAATTGAAGTTGCTATTGTTCCATATGAGAATAATTTTCATGGAATATTTAATGCAATTTCCTTTTTAAGAGAAAGTAAAATTATTTTTACTACTTCAGTGGAAGAAAGCTACAAAATAGTTATTTTCCTAACAAGTGCGCAAAGTGTTACTTTTCCGCACGCGAATACAGTTATACGAACGACGCGAAGCGGAGTTCGGATACGTGTTTGCGTGCGGAAAAGACACTTTGCGCACGTGTTAGGAACAAAATTTTTCCTACGAGCTTCATATCAGGTACGTAATAACAGAAATTTAAACAAAAAACGATAATTTGTTTAATTATTTTTAATTAACTTGAAGGGAACCTATGCATTTATCAAAAAATTACATAACAAAAAACATAAAATCCTCGTCAGAGCTGTTCATCTTAAAGCGTTTAAATTTGATGAGAAAGTTTGTAGATTTTTGCATATAAATAGAGAACAAATCTGACAATGTGTCAAAGTTAATTTATAATTGGTGTTTGTATAGATGTTGGCTGATATAGAAATAGAGGAAAAATTTGTCATCATGTGTCAAAGTCGACAGGTGCACTTATTGTTGCTTGACAATTATAATTACTTTTCGGCACTCAGTGCGGATAAGGCCTGTATCCGCACTGAGTGCGGAAAAGTGTAACTTTGAGCCCGGAAATGCGTGCGGAAAAGTACTACTTTGCGCACGCTCGTAGGAAAAAATATAAATATTTTCCAACCAATTAGTGTCTAATCAATAACAATAATAAAAAAAACAATAAAAATTATTAGATTAAGCTAAGCTGAAAAATGCATTCTTTCCGGATTTACAAAAGATTAACTATATGCCGAAATAATTATTCTATAAAACCCGGGGTTAATATTCTACATAAATAATTTTAAAAAATGCGATGCAAACATAGAAAATTAGATTTCCATATTCAAGACTCAATTATAGCGTAATATAAATATTTCCTGTCAAAGGAATCACTGCTGCATATTCCTATGGGTACGTATCTTAACAGATTTATTCAAATGATGGTACATTTCATGTTTTCTTGAAAAGGTCAACCTACTTAGTTAATAGCCTTTAAGTAGTTTTAAATGTTTGCGGATTTTGAAAAATGCTGCAAAAATCCGCAATAGCTTCAGATGTAAAAATCGAATTAATATTTTTGGTACTACCTATTATATTGTCATCGTTTAATTAAAATTGTACATCCAAAAAAAGACAATGCCAAATACGAATTTTATTATTATCGATAAACGCTGAAAGGAGCAGTACGTATATTAATTAAAGTATCGGATCACCCACAAGGTTAATGGGTTTTATGCAAAATTCGTATTTAAATAGTTCAAAATGTAATTATATTGTATTGTTTAAGGCCATCTTTTCCTGGCTGGTAAGAAAAACAATGTTTTATTGCTTTGAATGCATTTTGCAAATATTATAGGTTTGACCTTTTCAAGTTTTTATCTTATTCACTTTAGAAAAAAAGTGTTGCTTCTTCTATAGAAAAAAAACGGATTAAATGCAAAACACTGATTGTCATTATTTATTTTTATTTTTTCTATAGATATGTTCCGCTAAATTTTATGCATGTGGGTTATAATGCCACTATTAACTTGAGATCTGCAGAAACTAGCACAGAATGTAACGGCAAATTGAAATTTGAAAAAGTATAGATCTATGCATATTTAAGTTTAAAAAAAATCAAGAAATTTGTGAATGTTTGCCATCTTATAAATTATTTTTTATGAATGGCTAGAGGTCCATTCATAGGTGGTGTTACTGGAATAGGTAACAGATAACAGAGTTTCTCAATGTGAGCAGTTGCGTTATTGTTTTTTAATTTTCTTTTGCAGTTGAGTTCTGAAGAAATTGTTCAAGAAATTCAAATATTTTTTAGGAAAACCACAATAATAATTTGAAGATTGAAGAATTGGTTCAAAAATATGAAAGCTTCCAGTAAAAAAAAAAGCAGAATAGCCATGCACACAAAGTTTGCTCCAAAAAATAAACAATATTATTACCTTTTACATCAGCCATGATAAATTACTCCTTAAAAAACCACCCTTTTGCGTGCACGAAACAATAACTACAGTACCGCAATAAAAAAATTCACGAGTGTGGTATTACTACTGCTTTCTAGCAAAAATCAAAATGAATCGCGCCAGAGGTACTGAACTGCTCTTACGTTTCGAACCAATTTGTCGTGTACGAAAATGTAGGCTGTACGTCGTTTGTTTCTCGCAACTATCGAGTACTCTCTCAGGCGACCAACTTAGAATTTTTTGAATGTCGAAAGTTGCAGAAGAAAATAAAGCGAATGAATGAATTGCGGATGGCGAAAAACAGTTATTATAAAGGTACTGGCTCAGTGGTTTCTGCCCAGGCACGACCCGAGAAGGTGATGCACATTAGTTTTGGCGAAGCCAATTTTGTTTGGACGACGATAATAATTGATGATGTTTTTTTTTTTGAATTAAGAAAATGTCTAATTTATTTAGCGATTTGTGATGCATTTTATTGTTTAATACTTCAGGCTTTTAGAATATTTATTAGACAATCAATGCTAGTTGGGAAAAAATATGCCTTAACGATTATTTTTTATTATAAGTAAGTACTGCTTTCGAGATTTTACTGTTTGGGTTTCCTAGAAGTCTGATTTCATGAATTTAGGAAAATTTCGAATACTTACACTAAAATTGAAAAACTTGGCTAACTATATTTATCAGAGCGCAGTGAACATTACTGGAAATTGATGAAACTTTTTTGTAGGTATCTATAAATTAGCTCAAACTCTATAAATTATCAAGTTTTTGTTAAGCGTCGACTTGACGTCGGATAAAACTCGTGCCCTGTATTCGGAGTTTTGGAGTGGTGGCGACGGAAATCATGTCCACAGAGTTATTTTTACAAGCAAAAGCACAAACTTCATGAAAAATATCGATAAAAGAAACAAGAAGAGGAAAAAAACTTAAAATAAATCAAGAATTGTTCGGTGTTAATTTGAGTTTGACAATCGTGCCACCATCGGAGAGCAACTTACTATTCCATTTTTTTTTTTTATGTGACAAAGTCAATTCAAATTGTCTAGAAAAAGATTTTATCAATCAATTTCTTCTCTGTAATTTCTAGCATTTTTTAGTATATTGTTAAAACAGTTAATAGTTGAATTAGTTTTTTATTTTAAGAAGTTTCTACAGTCCACTTTTACGTTACATTTGGTCCTTCGAGCCGAATTGATTCAGTTTGTCATTCGTCAGACAACGGCCAATAATCCAGCTTTTTAGCTGAAGTGAACGGTGAACGCAGACGTTGTATCAAGTTCAGTCCGGAATACAACTAATGTGTACTTGTACATCATCAACTTAGTCAAGTTAAGTGAGCTAGGTGTCAAGTAAATCCGTTCTTTATTAATTTGGTCACCTATTTGTTTCATTACATACATTTATTCTTGGTAAGTTTGTCTAGTGTGATTCCTTATTGCAAAAATGGCAGAATTAACTAATCTTAAATTTAAGCGAGGTAATATAAAAAGTCAATTAACTAGAATTAATAAATACTATGACACAGTCGACTCCGCAGACCTCACGGAATATCAGATAATTAAAAACCAGCTTAGATAGGGCTAAACCCATCTTTTGTCATAGTTTGAGGACATTCGGGAAGAGATTGAGTCAATATTGTGCGAGTTTGAATAAGGTGTCTTAGAAGCAGAAGGCAAGGAACGTGAGGAGTTCGAAGGGCAATATTTTGATATAACTGGCATAAGTTATTGACAAGAATGAATCTTCGGGAAGTTCTGTTCATAGTAAAGGGCCTGCATCGATTATGCAACAACCTAGACATTCAATAAAATTGCCTGACCTTAAATTACCTACTTTCAATGGTTCATATGAAAAGTGGCTCAAATTTCGAGATGCTTTTCGAGCTATTGTTCATAAAAATACATTTTTGAGTGATGTAGAGAAATTTTATTATCTGAAGTCATATTTAAAAGGAGAACCGCTTCAAGCCATTGCAAACTTACAGGTTACGAATGACAATTTTTTGGTAGCTTGGACTATTTTATCTGATGGATACGAAAACAAAAGACTTATTGTCCATAATTATGTCAAGGCATTATTTGATTGTCCTGGTGTCGTGAAGGAAGTACATAGTGATCTTAGAAGCCTGTATGACTTGTTTAATAAAAATCTAAGGTCACTTAAAAGTCTGGGTCAAGACACTGACAACTGGGATACTTTAATTGTATATTTGATTACTTCTAAATTTGATTATGTTACTCGAAGAGAATGGGAGTCTCATCCTATTCCAAATGGGGAGCTATCTAAATTGATAGATGTCATTGCCTTTTTAAAAACTTAATGTGAGCTTTTAGAAAAATCAGAGTCATCAAGAAAGGATTCGAATACAGGTGCCAGATTTGATGTTAAAAATAAGTTAAAGGGTTTTCATGCAACAGTAAGTAAAGGTAAACTCTCTTGCTATTATTGTCAAAAACCGGATTCTATTTATAAGTGTTTTGCTTTTAAAAATTGGCATATTGAGGTCAGAATTGCCGCAATTAACAAATTGAAAATTTGTCCGAATTGTTTTGACTCTACTCATTCAACTAATTGTCCAAAAGATTCATTTTTTCTACAACTGTCAAAAAATGATGATGTTCGCACACTCATGACAGTTTGCGAAGTGACACTTTTTTCCCAGGTAGGTATTGATTTTTTAACGTTCCCATGACGCCGTGCGCGAACAAGCTATTTCGTACACTAGTGCGCATAATAGCTAGTTCGCACACTGGTGTCATGGTGACACATACCTGTCAGGAAACCAAAAATAATTAAAATTCACCTACCTTTGATTGAGAATGCAATTTTGACTTCGAATGATCGATATTTAAATGGAGTTGTAGAAAAAATATTGTTTGCAACTCGGGCGCGAAATACTTTGATGATCTCGACTATTTTTTCAACTTGGCTGCGCCTCGTTAAAAAAATCAGATCTCGATCACCAAAGTAGCATTTTGCGCACTAGATACAAAAATAACTATTTTCTACAACCGTCAAAAAATGATGATGTTTGCACACTCATGACAGTTTGCGAAGTGACGCTTTTTTTCCTAGGTATTAATTTTTTAACGTTCATAGCAAAGGAAATACGCATTTGATTGGAGCTTTACTTGATCGTGGGTCGCAAAGCAACTTCATTACCAATAGTTTTGCAACTTAAATTTGTCCAGGTCTGCGGTTAATTTTCAGATTATGGGTGTTGGAGAGGCTTTGTCATCTACTCTACTGTTAATTCTAACGTCAATGTAACAATTATGTCAAATATCAACAAGTACAGAGAAGTTATTTCTTGTTTAGTAATTGAGAAAATAGCTCAAAGTCTTCCAACAATCTCCTTTGATATTTCAAAATGGGATCTTCCTCGAAATTTAAGACTAGCTGATGAGTCGTTTAACATTCAAGGTGACATTGATATTTTGTTAGGTGTGAATGTCTTTTATAGGATACTGCTCATGAAACAAATTCGTAAAGAAGGTTTACCTGTCCTTCAAAAAACTAGACTAGGTTGGATTGTTGGTGGTAATGCTCAATTTTTAGAAGCTCCCAGAAATCAAGTGGTTGCAATCTTTCATTGGATCGGTCGATCGATGAAAAACTAACTAAATTCTGGGAGATAGAGGAATGTAGTAATAATGAATCAATCTTTTCCAAGTCCGAACAGTTCTGTGAGGAACATTTTAAGCAAAATTATTGGAGAAACTCAGATGGTCGCTTCATTGTTAAATTTCCATTCAATAAAAATATTGGAAAGTTGGGTTCTTCCAAGGAAATGGCACTTCAACGTTTTAAATTTCTTGAAAGGCGCTTAGCGAAAAATGAAATTCTAAAAAAGGATTACGTCGATTTTATGAATAAATATATAATTATGGGACACATGTCAAAAGTAAAAGAATTTTCTGTTGATAGTTACGATACTAAACCGATGTTCTATTTACCTCACCACAGCGTTATTAAAGAATGCAGTTTAACGACGAAGGTTCGAGTCATGCTTGATGCTTCGGTGAAAACTGACTTTGGTTTGTCTTTGAATGATGTTCAATATTCTGGACCTACCATTCGAAGAGATCTGCTGTCGATTCTTTTACGTTTTCGCATTTATCCACACGTGCTCAATGTAGATATATCCAAGATGTACAGACAAGTCCTCATAGATCCTAGTGAAAGAAGCTATCAGAGAATTTTGTGGAAAAATCTCGATTGCCCTCAGGCTCAGATTGAGTGTTTTGAGTTAAATACTCTTACTTATGGTTATGCGTCTTCTCCGTTCTTAGCAGTAAGGTGTTTGACACAGTTAACTTTGGATTTCCAGACTGAATATCTCGAAGCAAGTGAAGCTATATTGAATTGTTTTTATCCAGATGATTAACTAACAGGAGCATTCTGTACTTCAGGTTTGTTACAACTCCAAAGGGACATTTCTTTGATTCTAGATAGTGGTGGATTCCAGCTAAGGAAGTGGTTATGTAACAAACCAGAGCTATTGGATTTTTTTGAGGTGCATAAGAATTTATCGTCTAATATATTACATTTGGGAGAGAATGAACAAAGTAAGAGCCTTGGCATATTTTGGAATGCCATTAATATCACAGATACGATTCATTACTCTATCAAACACTTTGACTTCGATGGCGTTATATCCAAAAGAATAATTTTGTCGGTTGTGAGTCAAATATTCGACCCTTTAGGTCTCTTAGGTCCAATTGTAGTGACTGCTAAGCTTTTATTACAGCTTTTGTGGCAAGAAAAATTGTCCCGGGATGAGCCAATTCCTTCTTATATTTCAAGAAAATGGCTAGATTTTTGTAAGGAACTTCAATTTGTGAATCGACTTACAATTGGTCGATATGTCTTGAATGTAAACTGGGAAGTAATTCACCTTCATGGGTTTGCAGACGCGTCAGAGAAGGCTTACGGTGGGTGCATATATATTGTCAGTATAACAGGTTCTGGCGAGTACAATTGTTCCAAATTTCTGCTGTCCAAATCACGGGTAGTACCTATTAAAAAGATAAGTTTACCACGCTTGGAGTTGTGCGCTGCTGTTCTTACCTGTCAGCTCATGGAGAAGGTGAAACAGTCGATAAAATTGAAAATCGACCATGCATACTTTTGGACTGATTCTTCGATAACTTTATGTTGGATAAAGGGTTGTAAAGTCGCTGGAAAACTTTTGTGGCGAATAGAGTTACGCAATTTCAGAATATGTCCAATTCTTCAGCGTGGTATCATGTAAGATCAGAGGATACTCCTGCTGACTGTC